ACCATGACGAATGGCTCGGTTCACATTTAACCGATCATGCGTGTCTGGACAAACTTGTGTCTGACGTAGAGTCTTTGCTGAACAGTCTTGTATTGGGGGCTACTAAATCTAGTCCAGTTCAATCCCTAGAAGACACAAGTTTGCGCGTTTACCGCTAAAAAGAACTCCTTTGCCGTATCTCCTCAGTTTCAAGACACTCCCCTTGCTTCCACAGCTAGCGTCGAAATTTTTGGCGTCGACATATCGAATAGTGCAGCCTCTAAAAAGCTTGGCGTACTCAGCTGAGCAAGACAGTATTTGATGCCGGCACATCGCTTGTAACTTTACACTGCGCAAGTTCGGTCTCACTTGGAATACTGTTCTCATCTCTGGGCCGGGGCATCCTAGTGCCAACTCCTTCCACTTGACCGCATCCAGCGCAGAACGGTTCGAATCGTCGACGACTGAGTTCTTTCTGATAGGCTCGATTCACTGGCGCTGCGTAAAGATGTTGCATCCCTTTGCATTTTCTATCGCGTATTTCTACCACAGGGAGTGAGTGAGAGTGAGAAATTGTTCGGATTAATCCTAGCCGCCAAATTTCATGAACTTACATCGCGTCAAAATTCAAGATACCGTCCTCACCATCTGAATTCTTGGCGGTCCACCACTGTGCGTTTTACTATAGTTCATAAAAGATAGCTTGATCTCTGCGACAGCTGCCAGTAAAATCACGCCTATGAAGCCCTGAATTTCTTAGTAGTACAGACAGTACCTGTCAATGTCGTACTTTATGGGCATGCCGACCTAATTAGTGCATGCCCATAAAGTATGACATTCACAGGTACTGTCTGTACTACTAAGAAATTCAGGACTTCATAGGCGTGATTTTTACTGACAGCTGTCGCAGAGATCAAGCTATTCTTTATGAACTATAGGATTTTTTCCTCGTACTTCTTTGTGGAATTGTTTACCATCGCCAATTTTTCCGGACCGATACGACTTAGAGACCTTCGAGCAAAGAGCTTACTCCTTTTTAAAAGGCTGGCAACGCACCTGCAATTCCCCTGGTGTTGCGGTTGTTCATGGGCGGCGGTAGTCACTTACCATCAGGTGAGCCGCATGCTTGTTTGCCCACTCTTCTATAGAAAAAATCGTCGTCTTAACTACTTCTGTCACAAAACGGCTGGTGTAAAACGGGTGGTGTATCCAGTATAGCAGTTGCTTGGTATGGAGTGTATATTACAGGCATAGGGGGCATACCATCTCAGTCAGCCTCAGAACCGCACACTGATATATTTATTTAAACACTTTTTTGCTATCGTGTACAAAATGCTTAGTAATATGAATATTTGCCCTATTCTTTAGACCCATGTGCTATTGATTTAGGGTTATTTGTATACGTTATTTTCAAAAATATTATAATTTATTTCAGTGCAATATTTGGTTCGTATAGCTATGATCCTATCCGAGATGAATTCAGGGTGCATTCATCAAATAAAAATATATATACAAAACCAACCACAGTGACATCGACAAAAATATCGTCAGTAACAGTACCAAGTGGAAATCAGTCAGGAACCGAACCAAGTGGAAATCAGCCAGTAACAGTACCAAGTGAAAATCAGTCAGTAACAGTACCAAGTGGAAATCAGTCAGTAACAGTACCAAGTGGAAATCAGTCAGTAACAGTACCAAGTTTAAATCAGTCAGTAACAGTACCAAGTGGAAATCAGTCAGTGACAGTACCAAGTGAAAATCAGTCAGTAACAGTACCAACTGGAAATCAGTCAGTAACAGTACCAACTGGAAATCAGTCAGTAACAGTACCAACTGGAAATCAGTCAGTAACATCGAAATATAGAAAAATATTTAAAAAGAAAAAGGGTTCATACCTAATCGTATAAATCCCTATAACTTGTTTACGTTTCTTTATATTTATCCGGTTTAAAGAATAAAATAGAATACTTACTACATTATTCTCTATTGAAAGATATTTTAATGATTCCAGTGTCCTACAATTAGCTACATGAATTCATATTTTTATTTACTTTTTGAATTTCATACAATAAACTATATTATTTAATAACACGTACACAGTAACAAAATGCAGATGCGTTGTCACCCGTGAGGACTAAGATGGAATGCCCCGATTCCAGTAAAAACGGTCGCCGGTTCTCTACACTCACCATACGAAACACAGCAGCATTAAGCTACTATTTTACGTTGGTATTCTGTGAGAGCGTGGTCCTTCCCCGGTCGAGCCGACCCGGAATTGATAAACATAATATAAAATATTAACTGTCGTTAGGATGTCTGATTTAGTAGATATCAATAGGATGTAGATGACTTATTTGAATGGGATGGAATGGAACCAGTCTGCCAGCATAACATTGGTGCGTTTGTTGGGTACAGCCGTTAAAACACGTATCATGGATTATAAATGAAACGATCATTAGTATGGCTGGTTCAAGTATAATATGATATTATGTACAGTAATTAAACGCACAGTATGAAAACTGACATGGCTTATTGGTGCGTTTAGGAGATATAGCCGTTAAATTGTATGTTAATTTGCTTACAAAAAATATAAACATCACCAGGATCATTATAAAATCAAATAAGTATTCTGATACAAGCTATAAAATTAAAATAAAATCAACATCGAAATTAAATTTAAATAAAATCCAAAACACTTATAAGTATATCAATCAGATACCACAACAATAATTATACAAACAAAAAACAACAATAGTTTGGTATATTTAAACTGTTCAAATAATTTTCTATTTGAATGAATGAATATACTTTATTGTACACCATAAACAAATATACAGATAACAAAACAAAAAGTAGATTATATGTATGTACTATTTGGCGATACAATTTGATTCAGGTTATAGTGTCATTATTATGATTATTGATAATTATTATATATACCATGGCAGGCAATGACGTAATATAAGGGGCAAGTGTATGTGTAGCCGTTGATAAGTTTTTTTTTAAAAACGGTACCCCACACTAGGATTTTCTCGTGTATCGTAGAGGCAGTTTACAAACATAAATTTCACAAGGACAAACATTCAGACCCGGAACAATTATTTGTAAACCATACAAATACTTGTTCCAAGCGGGATTCCAACCCGTGGCCCCCAGCGCAACCACTCATTGCTAAGCCACTGCGCCACGGCGCCATCAACAAAAAAAGTTGACTTGTAATGAATGATATATGTGTATGTATTATATACAATATTAGATACGACAATTATGTATACACACCACAACATAGTCTAGGTGTACAATGTACAAGTGAGTACTATGCGATTCAAATAAGAATAGGACTGACTTGACGCCATATTGTGACGTCGTAGCTGTCAATTCAAACCAGTTAAGGTGGTCAAAGCAGATATTTTTGAAATAATATTAATTTACAAAGGAACCAAGAACGAACAAGTATTAATCTGGACGAAATATTTTAATTTCGTTCATCTCTGCATCACTGTCATCCGTCACCATTATCATCACTGCTGCTTTCCCTTATAATAATAGAACATGGACTTTGTATAGGTATTTAAAGTATTGCACCGACTAGTATCAATATTATGAATTAATTTATATAAATAATTATGAGTTCAATAGATTTGGTAATACTAAAACTCAGTTCAATAAAACGGAAAAATCCTTATTAATATGCTAATTAATTTTCTTTGCAAGCTGTACTTTTAAAGTGACAGTTGACAGATCGCGGTTATACGAGGTCATTGACGTCCCCATGCTTATTTAAATCGCATTGTATTCAAATAAACCTGTTGAGACATTTTACTGTCAACAGTACCAATAATATTTCCGTCAACTACTCCAATTTAGCGTAAAAACTTAAAATGCCGATATTAGTAGTTCACGACAGTAATCGAATGGCGAATTTGAGCCAAGACTTTTTTAGTTCACCGTGCGCACTATAGTATTAGGCTACTGTCATTTAAATAATTTGTAATTATGAAAGTTTAGTTAGGTTAGGCTTGATTAGGTTAGTTATGGTTCATAAAAGATAGCTTGATCTCTGCGACAGCTGTCAGTAAAAATCACGCCTATGAAGTCGTGAATTTCTTAGTAGTACAGACAGTACCTGTCAATGTCATACTTTAGGGGCATGACCACCCCAAATAAGTATTTCAATATTAGTTAGATAAAAATAAACATAAACCTGTATAAAAATTCAACAAATATATTAGCTACTTTCCCTTTTCTCAGCGCTTGCTAGCGCTTTTTTCTGCCAAACGCACCCACTAATTAGGTCGGCATGCCCATAAAGTATGACATTGACAGGTACTGTCTGTACTACTAAGAAATTCAGGACTTCATAGGCGTGATTTTACTGACAGCTGTCGCAGAGATCAAACTATCTTTTATGAACCATAAACTATAAGTTTAGATTTAGATTAGCTTTTTTTTTATTGAAAAAATTGTTCCGGATTAAGAATTTAGTCGGTGTGCTATGTATGTAAATCACTTCCACACTACAAGAAAAAGTCCTAGAAAGAGGTTTATCTTCATAATAAATTTAAAAAAAAAATAGATTTCAATAAAATATTTCCTATCGATAAAAGTACACTAGTAATGCCCAAATACTCAAACGCTACTCAATGATAAGACGCCGTTTAGTCTCGTGGCGTCACAGTAACTACGACAAAGTGATAGAGACAGGAGAATTAACTACGTTTAAAAATTGAGTACCGTTTGAATATTTGGGCATTATATACTGCTCGATTATACCTACCATTGCATATTATTCAATAAAAGCAGTGTTACTAGTATTGTCACCCGGATGCCACTTTTAATTAGCATTCAATAGTTTATGACTACAATACTACTATAGAATATTATACATTATGACAGTGAATGTACATAATCATTAATATTTGAATGTACATGTTATTTACATATGTAATTGTGATGAAGGCGTTTCACACTATTGAGCAATAATTAGCAATAAAGTGCTTGACATTATAATGATAAGAATCTTAAGTCTTATTACTAACAAAATTACTGATTATATGTGCCGCACCAAATGCCATTGATAAACAAGCAATCAAGATAATTACTCGAAAATACCTGAAAAAAGAAATTACATCTTTTTACACATTCTAACTAAGTCTTACAAATATAGTTTTCAAATATTTAAAAGTTGTGAGATATCTTAACGTAAGGTCAGAAAAACAAGGTAAAAACTATAAGCAAACTATAATTTATATTTTAGGTTTCGAAACATATGAAAGGCAAGCACTCAGAGAATTACAACAAAGGTAGCGGGCGACCCAATAAAATATGATACTATGAACCACTAAGAACCTATCAACAACTTACCATACGCGCAACTTATACAACGCATTCAGTCAGTCACCATAATATTATCCCCATTCAGTGTTATATATGTAAAAATTTAATGCCCCTTCTACTCGTATCAGTTGCAGATCATTTGTCTGTGCTTTCGCGTAAGACGGACGCGTAATGGGGAAGCTTAGGATTATTATTGTGAAAATTATTTATATGCACAAATGTACTCTCTATTCCCTCACTCTCATGATCCGGTGAGACGGCAATCCGTTCCGCCCGCAGAAAGATCAAGCGAGCAAGACAACCCCGTTTACTTGCTTTCCGAGGCACGGGGATGAAACACAGCCTAATTTTCGATTCCTGACTGCTACTGTGAATTTCTTGACAGAATAATCTACTAACTGATCCCGGCCCCATTCGGGGTTCGAACCCGCAACCACATGACTAGCAGTCACGCATACGACCAATTGACCAACGAGGTAGTTACAATACCTTTAAATAAATATTATGTAATAATTGAATGGAATAAAAATATACACTTAAAAATAAAAAATGAAATTTTATGATATTTATAACCATACCACGTAAATTTTGATCTTCTAAGCAATCTTATTACACATTCCGTTTGATGCACGGTGCTTGCAATATCCCCAGAATTGTCAATGACAAAATGAGATCTTGCTACTTTTTGCTCAAGTGGCATTTGACAGCTTATACGCTTTTTAGCAACTACTTCAGAAAGGTCATTACGTTTACATAATCTCTCAAGCTGTTGGTGATCCTCACTGTAAAATAAATTAGTACGACATTAAAAAGTGTATTCAGCAATCTAGCAGGGATCTATAAATTGACGAAACCTTTTTAAGGAGATTTATATTTTAACACTTCAGTAGTTGTTTATTTTTATATATAAAATGAAAACTATATTTTTATTTTATAAAAACTGGCTTTGCTCAGTACAATGGGCTAAGTTGACACGCTAGAGGATCTAGATTTAGACTGGGTAAAACTAGTCTTTATAGAATAAATGCATAAAATTTTAATTTAAACCCTCTAAAAATATACCGCAATCAATCAGACTTAAAATTTAATTTTTGTTTTGTTTAAAAGTGTCTACTATAAAATACAATAATACATTGAGGACATTAATGTGCAGAAATAGTTCTTACTCAACACTGCAACTCCCCTAGCTTCTGAAATATGATTAAAAGTAGACATTTAAAAAAAACTGCAGACTTTTGACATTGTTTTGCTGTTTTTATTTATAAGCAAATTGTGAAATAGTATTACGTTATTATATAAGTTAAATTAAAAAATTTAAAACACCCCCGACACCCCAGAAACAGAAAGAGCAGATGACCTTCAACGGCTGATCATAGCTAACACTCTCGATCAAGTCACCTTTCCAACAAAAAAAAAAATTAAATCTAAATCGATTCATCCGTTTATGAACTACGATGCAACAGAGAAACAGATACACAGATACACGCATACAAACATATAAGACTTTTCTGTTTGCGTCGGTGGTTAAAAAAAGATTCAGGTTTTGGTTCTTTCCTGTAAAGGTGTTGTTTTTGCAAGCTGCTGTAGGTATTACGGACATTCCTTGTGCAGAACATATACGAGAGGAAAAAACGGCGGCCTAGCTACTGGTGAGTCCGGAGGTCGCCACACACAGGGCGAAATACCTCGGCCTGCCGAGGTCATCGGCAGCATCAGGGACTGCTGAACTTCATCGAGAAAATTTTATGGCTCAAATAGCAACAATATTTCTGCACACACGCGAAATAGGCGCTCACGATCCTAAATTGAATAAAAAATATTCTTTTACTTCGTAAATAAATGTTTAATAATGATTCCTGCTTACCTACTCTTCCAGCTTCTGACACTACTTAAAATATCATCTGATAGACCAGTGATAAGAAGCACTGACAAAATTTCAAAACATCTGGTAATGCACATGCAAAAACGCTTTTGAGCTCCTAACCTTTTTAGTAATTTTTTTTCTTTTAATACTTTTTAGCGTACCCTTAACCGACGAGCATGTATGCGTAGGTATATGGATGTGAAGGAGACGAGAGAGGTCTGTCAGCATCGTGCCAAATGGAAGTCTGTAGTCCCTACCTACTACTAGGCCCTCTCCATAGATCGCCTCATTCGGGGGGATTTCACTATAGTTGCCACGGGTTGGCAACCGTAGCTTTTAACTTTGAGTTATTATTAGGAATATTTAACTATCTCCTGTTTCAGCCTCTCTCAGTCGTATCATGACACTTACGGCACGATATGGGGTAGTGGATATTCTTTCACCACCACTATATGGTTTATTTACTTTACTTATGCTGTATACATATCATGCCAAGAAATACTTACCAAACAACTGTTATAATTTTGTGCATAAATGTTAACATTTCCCAGTTTCAAACAACAATGGCACTTCCATGACTATATATTTATGACCAGAAAAAAAATACATCATTGCCATGCTCATCATTGCCCTTTGTATTCTAGGATGAGTAATGGCGTTAAGTTTCCTCCTTTTTTCAATATCATCAAACACTATTTCTCCAAGCTTTAATCTGTTTACTTTACCATCAGGGTGAAGAAGCTCCTCTCCAAAATATTGTCGCAACTCTTTCCATGCTTTTGTCCCTGGTTCTAAAACTAACAAAAAGTTTTAAATATTATGATAATGCTTGAAAAAGGGAAAGGAAAGCATGGATGAAGACTGCAATAGGCTAGAGAACATATGAACTGGGAACCTCATCAATGGTTGTTGGTGCTTTTCACTAGTGAATCCCGAAAAGAAGAAAAAAGTAAAGGGCCTAGATGTGGACCCCATTCAAACAGACACTGACTGCGATTTCGTATATACCATTCAATCCATCTAAGCAGGCTGCCCTGCACTCCTAATCTTCAAAGCTTTTGTAGGAGAAAGTCATGGTTAATTTTACCAAAAGCTTTGGAAAGCTATGCAAATGACATTAAACTTTTCAGGAAAATAAATTCTAATGAAGATTGCCGCTAACTACAGTCGGGTATTGATAGCTTATGTAATTATTGTGAAAGTAATTAATCGTACCTCAATACAGATGTTTTATAATAACATACTCTGTCTAAATTAAGCCCCCTAACTTATAATTATACTCTTTGTGAGAAGGGTCTTAGTCATGTTAAAAACATTCGTGATTTGGGAATTAACATGGACAATCAGGTCTCTTTCAACAACCACATAGATTTAGCTATAGGAGGGATTAAGCCCAAAAGAGATTAGAGCTTTCACGGATGGTTCTAAAAGTATGAAGGTGTAAGATCTGGAACTTTCTTTGAAGACCTCGATATCCATAAATGTACACCGCTGGGTACTTTCTCTGAAGAATTCAATATCCATATATGTACACCGCATATATGTAACACAGTCTTTCAGGCGGAATACGGGTATCATCCAAACAGCCATTGCAATAGATGCTAGGAAGGTAAAAGACTCAAGATCTGAGTTGAAATGTGGTGGACTAGAGACTAATACAGTGAACCCCGGTAATCCGACATTTTGCAAGGCAGTGTAGGACTATTGAATTAGTCAGATTATAGAGTACTGCCTAAAACCCCTATAGTCCATAATTTTTTACAAAAGAGTACCTTGTAATCTGACAAATTACAGATCCAATAATAAGATTCAAAAAAAATATATATATATATATATATATATATGTACTCTTATCTGTACACACAATAGGCCGCACCGCTATCCTCATCACATGTAGTCAAATTCAAACTAAGCAATCAGAATCAAAACAATGCCCTATGCGTCGAGCACAATAGTGGCGGTGCATACAAGTTATAACTTGTTCAGTCATGCATTAGTGAAAATTGTCAAAAAATATTCAATAATAAATAATAGACCATATGGGATTACAGGGCCATATTGGACAGGGGCCAAATTTCCCGGGGTCCACTGTATATGAATGTCATCAAGGGTTAAACGAGGTATGTAAACCCAACAATGTGAATCTGCAATGGATAAAGTGCATCCAGAGGCAACAATCCAGCACATGAACTGGCCAGAAAACGATCTGCTCTGGCCCCTATAGGACCAGAATCAACAATAATAATTCCTCCTTTTGTAACACTTGTTCACTAGTACATAGAAACTTACTAATCTACATGCTCAGCTTTGAAAAAATCTAGACAAGCTATAGACAAGCTAGGGAGGCCTTGCCTAAAATAAACAGTCATTTAACCGAGATTATAATGAGAAAGCCACTGATTAGGATAGTAACAAGTGCACATACATGTCACAGGACAAGGTTCCGAAGATATTTTTTCCAGGAAAAAATGTTAGTCCACATGTTGATGATATGTCCAGAGGTTGATGCATTCAGGGTTAAACATCTTACTGTTGCAAGCAACTTTGGGGGAGTGATCCCCAAAATTGCGATCGCAAAGGACTGTTGAACTTCTTCAGGGAAACTTCATGGTTTGAATAATCACATTATTTCTGCCCACAAGCAAAAATATACATGCTTAGATGTAGACATGTAGACATTACATTATGGACAACTATAATCTTTAGTATCTTGTAAACAACCAACAAAAACAACTGATGGCACCAGTAGTTGATTTATGTTTATAAATCATATAGTTATTCCTGATTAAAAATGTCAGATTATGAACCGAATTCTCGTCATTTGTGGGAGGTGTTAATATATTTTTTTAATATTAAAAAATCTGCAGCTGAGACTCACTAAATGTACTCACTGACTGCTGACGGAAAGGTGGGAGAAGGTAGTGGCAATCAATAGACATTACTTTGAAATATAAATGTATATTATGACTTTTTACAATAAAGCTCTGAATTTCAAAAAAAAAACACCGGAAGCAAATTTGTATACTAAATAATATTAAGTCTCTCTCAGACAGGAAAAGAAGGAATCAGAACGTAAATTAAGTGTTTGTACAATCTTAGGAAGGTATCATTAATTAAAAAAAAATTATAACCTGATCAAAGAATACAAGAAACCATCAACCTAAATTTGTCTTCCCTGTATGGAAAGAGACCCATTTTCAACTGTGTTGCTAATGAGCTGATGTGCAAAATAAGCTCCAAATTTTTACCTTTTCTTGCAACTTCATCGGCATCTATTACCGCTACATCGTTGTCACGAAATATGGAGAGTACTGTACTTTTTCCTGTAGCTAAGCCACCAGTGAGTCCTACAATAAACATTGTGTTCGAATTTTATTTCGAAGTGTGAATGTAAATGATTTTAAAACAAACGATTGATATTTTTATGATAATTGTCTTTTGTTGTTGTTATATTTTTTTATTTATTAAGATTTTTGGGCTGGATGCTTGTCTTTTAAGCAAAGTCTTCATTTCATTCGGGATCCTGTTTTTATAGATTTTCTATTGTGGATTTAATGTATTTGAAAATAGGCAATAAATGTTTTATATTCTTCAAAACCACAGTCAAGCGTCTTTGAGTATTCAACCAACTGGAGAGGCCATGCGCGTTAATTCCTAAACAAAAATTCTGTCAACATCAGGGGGGCGCAAGAAAACACACAACTGTAAACTTAACTACAAATGCAAAATTAAATCGTGTCACTATAAACGCACACTACAACATTTTTGTTTGTATTCATCGCGTTTACCATCAAATTGTACACGTGTCGATACACTGATGGCGCTGTCCAAATGCGTAAGCAACGTAGGGCGTGGACTATGTCGATATTTTTTTATCGATAAACAAATCACCATAGGCCGCATAAGTTTTTATTTGACCAAGGTGTTATTTGCAATTCTTTTTTTAAAGTATTTAGAAATGTTCTTCGGAAAAAAACTTAGAAATTATTGAAAATACATTTATTATTTTGCTACAGGTTTATTTTACATTATGCAGGATAAAATTTTAAACATTTAACAAATCGAAATAGGTTTAGTTAACTTATTTTAAAAAGCAGATTTTTTTAAAAGAAAAGTCCTATCAGTTTATCGTCTTAGATGGTGTTAACCAAATTTTTGTTTTTATTATAAAGCTTCAATCACAAAACCGCTAATTAAAAATAGTTGTTGATTTTCAAGAGTTATTAAATTACTGATACTCGTATGATTTAGAGGAAATAAAACCACATACAATTTGCAAATTAATTTTTTTCCATTAAAATTAATTTTTTTAAATTTTTTTTTGAAAAAAAAAATATTTCTATACACTTGGATACTGATTCTGATAACGCAGTTAACGAGAACCACAGGGTTTTTGTTACATGTTGTATATATATGATAAAGATATTTATTTTGTAAAACACGAGTAAATAAAATACAAGTGTTAAAAAACTTAAAACGAGCTACATGTTTTGCCATTTATGGGGTAAAAAAATTATACTACATTAAGGTTACAATTACAATAATAGGTATATAAATATATTGTTACCCGAAAGTCGACGATACACTAGCGCCATCTAGTGTCAGGAACGAGAGCGAGGGGAGCATTGAGAAAATGACATCACAAATCACTCAACCGACAGCGCCATCCGAAGAACTAAGTTTCTAGAAAATCTACACTCGCACACTCGTCCCTTTGCGCGCATTTACTTGAATATTCCGGATGCTTCTTTGCTAATTTATATAAATAGGCGCTGCAAGATGCGATCGAGGGAGTATTGGAATTGGCGACACGAGCGAAGCTTCGGAGCGGAATTAAGTGAATTAGTGTGTTTAATTATTAGTGTTTTAAGTTTTAATTTGTGTAAAGTAAATTAAAGTGTTAATTTAGGTAATTTTATCGGCAATTTTTATTGTCTCGAACCTGAAGCTCGTAACAATTGGTGTCAGAAGTGGGATAAAATCATGCCGATTTTACCTAAGGAGGAAACGGAGGGTGTCCGTACCCGAAGTCAACGCCAGCAGGAGACGGACCAAAGAAGATTTGGTGGTGCAACGTCGCAGACTTCGGAGGGACAGCTGCCGGCTACAGGCCCGTCAGTAGCTCCCACATCTGCAGCACCTGACTTAGGTGCTCTGATGGTGATGCTGCAGGAACAGGTTCGCCGACAGGAGTAACAGGTCCGTCGGTTGGAAGAGCAGCTGCGGGGTGGACAGGATGAACAGACCCGCCGACAAGAGGAACAGGCCCGTCGGTCGGAAGAGCAGATGCTCCTCATTAAGGACCTTCATGCTACCTTTGGGAAAGAGATAAAGGAGGTGAAGGATAGGGTTGCCCAACATGACAACCGGCTGTCGGAAGCTGAAACCCAAATCAAGGAAGCTAAAACCCAAATCGACCAAGTGAACAATCGGGTTGATTACGTGGTGGCTGACGTGAAGAAAACGCTGAACGACCTCAAACTTGGGGATGGAACTACAGCTCCCGTAGTAGCTGCAGCACATTCGCTACTGGGTTCAAGGTGCCACCGTTCGACGGGACTTCTTCCTGGTCAGCCTACAAAATCCAGTTCGAGGCCGTCATGGAGGCAAACGGCTGGAATAAAAGCCAGGCCATGACTGCACTCACCTTAGGCCTGCGCGACCAAGCCTTAACCGTGTTGGAAGCTCTCGGTAAGAAAGTGATCTACGAGCAGCTTCTTGAGGCATTGGAGGCGAGATATGGCGACGCTCACCTGGAACACGTCTTTCGTGCGCAGCTTAAAGATCGTGTGCAGCGCATCAACGAAAACCTGCAGCAGTGGGCTCTAGAAGTGGAGAAGCTGGTGCGAAAAGCATACCGGTCTGTACCTGCGCTCATTGAAGGTAACTTGGTGCAGACATTCATCGACGGCATCCGCGACCTTGAAGTCAGAGCTGATGTGAGGCTGGGGCACCACGAGCCGCTTAAGGACGCCTTAGCCCATGCACTGGAGGTGGAAGCCGTGCGGCAGGATCATCGTTCCCATCGCGCCAGGGAGGTTGCATTCGCTACAGTCCGTGACCGCAGCAAAGGATACAGCCCTAGGTGCTATGGCTGTGGGGAAAAGGGCCATCTTCGATCCAGCTGCCCTAAACGAACCGTGGAAAGGAGAGTTGATCGACCTCGAGAGGGTAGTGCAGCTAACGGCACTGCCTGGCGGCGACAGGATCATCGTTCACCTCACGCTAGGGAGGTTTCAGCATTTACGGTTCGCGACCACAATAAAAGATACAGCCCTAGGTGCTATGGCTGTGGGGAAAGGGGCCATCTTCGGTCCAGCTGCCCTAAGCACACCCTAGGAAGGGAAGGTGAACGGTCTCAGAAAGGAAGTGCGGCTAACAGCACTGCCCAGCAGCAGCAGGAATACGACTTTACTATCAGACACTGCAGCGGGAAATCTCACGGCAACGCAGATGCATTGACAAGAAGACCTTGTCCTGAAGATTGCAACCATTGTAGTAGGCAAGAGAGTAAGGAAGTGGTATCCGTGAGGATGCTCAGGACAGACCACCTCAGCAACGGATGGAAGGACAGCCTACGACATGCACAGCAGGAAGATCCGCACATCAAGCCGATTCTGGGATGGATGAAGGCCCGTGCTACCAAGCCTAAGTGGAGGGACGTCTCAGCGATGAGTTCAACCACGAAAAGCTATGGGGCCCAATGGGACAGCTTGCTGATTCAGGATGGAGTCCTGTGCCGTAAATGGGACAATGGTCGAAGAGTCAGCTGTCGTTTGCAAATGGTTGTCCCTAAAGCTAAAATGCCGAATGTTCTACAGCTGTGCCATAATGGTCGTTCAAGAGTCCATCTGGAAGTTAAACGAACTCTACTGAAGGTCCGAGAACAGTTTTACTGGGTCCATTATCATGACGATGTCGAGGATTGGTGTCGTACATGTACAAGTTGTGCGGCCTTACGGGGACCTCAGACACGTAGTAGAGGAGCACCGAAATTGTACAATGTTGGTGCACCACGGGATAGGACAGCCCTTGACATTGCGGAGCCGTTACAGAAAGGCGCAAGAGGGACTCCTAAGATCGTCCATGTGGATCGCTTGGCGCGTTATTATGGGGCCGATAATGCTCGGGACGAGCATGTCTTAGGAGGGGGCAGTGTTACGCGCTCAAGTCGTAAATTAAATTAAAGTGTTAATTTAGGTAATTTTATCGGCAATTTTTATTGTCACGAACCTCAAGCTCGTAACAATATGAATTAAATTTGATAGGTTAGTGCTTTTGTAAACTTAATAAAATATTTTCAAGTAGAATAATATTGGTGTCAAAGGTAATAAAAAAATATTTAATCTAAATATAATTACAGTCCAACATTACCTCTTACAAGTTCAAGGTTGGTACTGCAGTGTCAGATTCATGGTTTCTACAAGCTACAATCCAAGTGTGCCGCCTAAGATGATCTCTTGGAAATCTGTAATAACAAACCAATAATAGAAAAATTTACTACTTTTTGTAATACTTTATTATAAAATATAAATAAAAACTATAAACCGGTTCGGCAGACAAATCCGCATGGTTAATTAACTTATCGATAGCTAAAGTTGCGGCGTTCATCACTATAGTGTAATACTTTCAGTTGCAGTGATACCAGTTTATTTTTATAAAAATTGCACACTTTTGCTGCGAGGTAGCAAGTTTCGATTTGACTTATTTGGTCTGTATTTTGTATAATATTTTAATAAATACTAGTTATCGATTATATTTAATTATATAATATTCAGTATCGTGTTAAAATTGATCTGAATATATAAATCATTTAACAAAATCCACTACACATCTATATGTTGTAATGATTATTATTCATCACAAACTTATTTATTTATTAGGAAATATATTTTCGTTAATATATATAACTTGTGTAGTAAATTATATTTTTTTAAATAGATCATTTTTCACTTTATGAACTATGATGGCCACACTCGGTTTTGGACGATAATATTCACAAAGTACGAGTTTTAATGATAAAATTACTTTAATATTATGTTAAAAATACTCACAGATGAAAAGTCACATTGTCCTTTTGTATACTTAACGTTTTTGATTGTTTTTTTCATGTAAATACACTGCAATTCGGCATTTTGTCGGAGCTCGATTTACTGGCACGATCACTTCGAAATGACGCACGACGCGGAACAACTAGTTTTATATAACGAGTATGAGTCGGACTCTCGTACCTTTTACAGAGGGGTATGCCTTGCGACGCCGTCTCCTTTGGTTTAATACTCAAAGGGCAGTTCATTACTTGCGATGGGTCCACTTTCACTGTTGCTGTCACTGACACACACTTCCCTAGCTAATAAAAT